TCATCCCCTGGCCCCATCCCTCTTCGTCTTCAGCGAGTCGAATAAATACAGCCCCGGACGCCTGGGTCCCACGCAGCTGGTCGGCTTCACGGCGGGGATCCACTGGGGACAGGGCATCTCAATGCCCCCCCCAGGGACACAGGCCAGGGTCTGTCTCTGCTGGTGCAGGGGGGGGCAGCAAATGCATGCGGAGGGGACCCCCCTGGTCCTTATCCGGGGCTCGGCCTCGCCCCCGTTTTTGGCTTGAGGTTGCCCGGGACTTTGGCAATGAGAAGCTGGGCTGGAGCAGGGCGGGGGTCCAGGCTGCCCCCACCCCACTTAAGGCAAGGGCTATACCTCTGGGTGGGCCTGTGGGCCCAAGTCAGCGTCCGTATTGTGCTGCGCGGCCCCCGCGGGGCAGGGCAGGTCGGAGCGTCCGGCCCGGCGGGCACGGGAGCCTGGCAGGGGCACGCCTGGGCGCTATGGGGTCTCCTCGGGGCTGTGGTCCCCACCTGGGCTGTCAGCAGCGTGGGGGGGCTCAGCTGCCACAGGCGGCTGTGACACATCGTCCTCGAACATCTCGGGGTTCTCCAGCATCTCCTGGATGAGGGGCGGCATCGGCCCTGGGATCTCCATCTTCAGCGTGATGGCCCGCTCCGCGCCTGCCGACACAGGGACCAGAGTTGGCGCAGGGGGCCACGCTGCGAGCTTCCACACAGTAGTGCCACGGGGATGTGAGGGGGCACAAGCAGAGAGAGCTGCTCCGCTGCAGGACAGCCTGCGGCACCCAGGCTGCAAGCTTCCCCCCAGCAGTGCTATGCCCAGCCCCAGAGCTGTGAGCTGCAAGCTTCGCCCCCCACCACCGCCCTCCGGCAGTGCTGCACCCGGCCCCAGGGCTGCGAGCTTCCCCAGCAGTACCACACCCATCCCTGGGGCTGCGAGCTCCCACCAGCAGTGCCATGCCTGGACCCAAGGCTGCGAGCTCCCTGAGCAGTGGTGCGTGTTACCTTTGGTGCTGATGCCGCGCAGGTCGGTGATCTTCATGAGCATGCGGGGAAACATGTAGGGCTTGTTGGGCCGGCGCCGGCGCGCGTAGATCTTCAGCGCTTCCAGCAGCGGCTCCTGCAGCTTGTCCACCTTCTCAGGCTCCTCCAGGTCCATGCGGTCTGCAGGGCACCAGCGGTCTGAGCCTTGCTGCCCCCCTGCCCCCAATGCTCGCAGCACCCCTTGCTGGCACCGCTGGGGAACAGAGCAGCCGGGAACAACCCCCAGCGCCCACCTGGTGGGAGAGGCTGGGACTGGCACAGCCAGGAGCTCCCCCCGCCCTGAGCCCACAGCCCCTGGCACCTCCGCAGATGAGGCAGATGGCGCTGAGCAGCCCGGTCTCAGTGTCGTCCATCTCAAGGGGCAGCAGCTGCCCGGCGAAGGCGAACACCAAGTCGGTGAGGGGCCCAAAGCCGGCGTTGTGCATCTGTGTGCG